ACAAGAAGAAGAAATAAGACAAAAATCCTCTCAACTAGACTAGTAAGCAGCATCATGATAGATGGGGGAAAGATTAAAGTTGTCTAGAATTTATTTTACTTGGCTCCACAATCAATATGTATATGTGAAGCAAGAGTCAAGAAATCAAATGATGCATTATGTTGGGTAAATCTACTGCAAAAGACCTCTTTAAACTGTTAAAAAGCAAGGTGGTTGTTATCTTGACTACTAAGGTGCACCTAACACAAGCATTGGTACTTAGCCTCATACACCTGAGGAAGCTAGACAAATAATTAAACCAAGGAACTGATGCCTTTGAATTGTGATCTCAACTGAGAATGTTAAATGTCCCTACCATTGACTGCCAGGAAAAAGACAAATCTGCTGTGGAAAAAGTATAGTCCAAGTGCTACCATGTTAAAAGCAAGGGTTTGTCTCACTAGTCCTTGTAGAAAGATCTCAAGCTTGGTAAAACAGGGTTCTTGAAAAAGAAGACTGCAGATGAGATGGACTGACACCTGACTGCGGCACTTGGCTCAAGCAAAGCCGTGATTGCGAAGATGACGCAGAATCACGGAGTGTTTTGTTCTGTTGTGCTTGGGATCACTATGAATCCGAACTGACTGGACAGCACCTAAAAATTAAACAAAAAACTTTCTTTTTTTATGAAAAAGGTTGGTGTTTTGTTTTTATTTTCAAAGGTTTGGGATTTTTTTTTCTTTTTTAAAATAAAGACTTCATTTGCTCAATGCCATGTTGGTTCCTGTTTTAAGATAGTTTACTTTTAATTGTTTTAGCTTTTTAAAATAACTTTTTTGTTGAATTTGAGTAAAAGTTTATTGAGCACATTGGTTTTCTATTCAGCCATTCATATACATTTTTTATGGCATTGATTATAATCTCCACATTATAACATCACTTTTCCTAATTCCTGTGTTACATTTTTCTATTGTTTGCCTTTCCTCTTTTTTTCATGACTTCTGAACTTGATTCCCATGCAGTTGCTGTTGCCCTTTTGATCTTCTATGGTTGGTTGATTGAAATAGAATGGCTGAGTGCATTCTGCTCTTCAAGTTTGGGTCACCTTTTAAGCCTGCTTAGTCTTTGGCTGGAAATTTGAATCCAAGGGATGATTTTCTTTTTAAGCTTAAAGAATGACTATGGAGTTCCAACAGCCAGTTATCTGACTAGTCTGATCATTTTTCTAATTTTTTTTTTAGTTCCACATTTTTACCCACTTTGTCTGGAACCTTCAATTATGATCCTTTTCATGAGTCAGCAGTGGTAGCCAGGCACCAGTTAATTCTAGTCTCAGGTCATGGAGACTAGAGTTGGCATGGCCCATTTTTTACTTTGGACTTGTAATTTTATTTCCTTTGCTCTCTTTTTGTTCTGCGTATAGATAGAGACCAATAGTTAACACCTTAGATAGCTCCAGTGACCTAGTGGTATGAAGCTGTGCTGCAGTCTCAAAGGCACACAGTTCGAGGCCACCAGCTGCTCCGCGGGAGAAGGATGGGTAGTCTCCTCCCGTCTGATTAACTGCCTCTGAAGACACGCCGGAGGGTCAGCTGTGGGTCGGTTCCAACTCTACAGTACACAACAGCAGCAGCAGCAGCAGCAGTCACTCATCAAAATAGCAGATGTGGAATACTATCTTTTTCAACTGTATCATGCCACTTGACCTGGTGGGGATATTTGGAAAAGGTCTGTGATTAAGAAAGAGATTCATAGATTTCAGTATGTCTGAAGGAATTTCTCATGTTTATTAAAAACTGTAGAATTATCAATATTAGACAGTTACTAATTTGTGAGTCAGATCAAGTTTTGATTTGCAAAGATTGGCCTAAATCTCTAAGCACTTGTCTAATATGCTGCATCCTTCATATCTGCTTATTCCAGTTGAAAATTGCTTTAGACCCTTTAAATGATATAGTCTGCATTCTTAATCTTCCATAATTTATCTCCTATCTTTACCAATGATTCACTATTAAGAAAATTTTAACAAGCTTTGAAGCACAATGGGAAAACTTAAGTCAAAATAACTGAATTCAGATCTTCTTGTAGTTAGGTGCTATTGAACAACCCTTTTAACAGTAGATGTGAACCTTGCCCTGTACAAAGCTAACCTCACAATCCCTGACAATTGAATTAAAATGTGCTTAATTTAAAAAGATTGATTTTTAGTCTTGGATTATTCTCTATATTTTTTGTATTCAAATATGCTATAATGGAAAAACAGATTTGTCAGTATAAGAATTAAATTGTGTTGTAGAAAAACCTACAAATCATGCTAAAAGACAGAAGTGTATGGCAGAAATGGATACAGCATATGGTATTTGAAAAACTAATAATAATATCCTAAATATAAAATCAGTGAGAGAAATGAGCAGCCATTTATAAAATAAATGTAATCAGCCAGTAATAGTTGGAAAAGGTTTTTTTAAGAAATAGGAGTTTCAACTTAGAATAATGTTTTTCCCCTAACACTTCTGGTTATTTTTCTTAAATGTGCATAAACATTTTTTGGGAAATAGACATTATTCTAATTGCTTGTAAAACTGTATATGTCCTTTAGGAGGATGATTTGACTTTGTATCAAAAGGCTTAAGAGTTTTTAAAATCCGTTTTTACTTAGCAGTATATTTTTCTAGGACTGTATTTAGAGAAATAAGGTTGTGATCAATATTTAGTTATAAGGGTGTTTATTACAGTGTTTTTAAATTGTAGTTTAAATGGAAGCCAGGCAAAAATTTTACAATTGTATATTATTCTAAATAAGAAAGGTTACACTTTATCCATACAATGAATACTATTCAGCCTTTAAAAATTATTTTGAAAATAAATCTTTAATAACATAGCAAAATAGTAAATAATAGATTTAAAATACAGATATGAGACTAAACCTCAGTCATTGTTATGTACTGTGTAGTTGGAGCTGATTCAGAGTTGACCCTCCCCTAGCGGGTTTTCAGAGTCAGAAAATCACACCAGAGTTGATTGCCTATCTTTCTGCTGCATATTAACCGGTGGATTCGAACCACTTACCTTTGTGATGTTAGAATAAAACCACCACAGCTCATGGGTCTTTTTAGTGGTGGTTTTGCTATTGTTTTTTAATTTAAAAATCTGTTCAATGAAAATGTATTATATAATTTAAAAATTATGGGAATCACTGTAGAATTATTCTCGTCTCTCTTTTTGCACTTAGAACAACTGTAGCTTCTCAGATTACATGTCCCTCTCTGCCTCCTTTTCCTTTTCCTATGCCTTAACCACTTAGAGAACTCCTGCTTTTAAAGTAAATTCAGATGGCATTACTATAGAGTCTTTCCTAACCAAGATCTTACTCATCTAATGCAGTTATTTTGTATAATTATGTATTTGTAATACTTTGTCACTAGCCAATGACCTATCTCATTCATTCATTTAATCAATACTTGTTTGGTTTTTTAAAATCAGTATTTGTTGAGTGTCTAATATGTTCCAGGCATTGTTTTAATCGAACCTCTGTCTAGGCAGGCACATGCCCCTTCATTCAAAGAAAGCCTTGTAAAGCCATTCCTTATACAGTAATTTTAAGTATTGGGATAGAAATGTATAATACTTTGGGAGTAAAGATCATTGGCATATCTACTTCAGGCTAGATCAAGGGAAGAACAGCTGAATTTAATAAAAAGCAAGAATTAACCAGATCATGGGCAGGAGAAAGAAGGCTTTAGAACCAACCCAAAGGCCTGGGAAATTAAAAACTCTAATAAGTTTCAGGAGATCACTGTATTTGTAGATATTAGGCTAATTTCTAACTAAAATAATTATATATAATTTTATTGAGGAAATGACTTCCGAATTTATTTCTTCTGCAACAGATTAAGAAATTATATAGCACAATTTATGTTAGTGATCACCATCCTAGTGTTGAATTTGACAAATTCAAGTGTAACTTTTAAATTTTTTATTTTAAAAATATTTATGTACTCCACATCCAGGGCTTGTTTTCCAAAGAAGAGGCTTAGAGTAGCAAAACTAGGCACCTCCTGGGCGACTGCTGTCAAAGCAGGTTCTGAGATGTAACCAAGCTTACGAGTGCCAGGTCACCTGCTACCACAAAGTTTGTAACAAATACAGTTCATTTACAAAGGAAAAAAATTATGTACATATATTCTTACTAAGAATTATTGTGTTGCTGTTTCCATTGAGTAGGAAACATCTCATAGCTGACCCTCTAGTGGGTTTTTAAGAGACTATATATATTGAACGGAGAGAGACTGCTCATCTTTCTCCCTTGGAGCAGCTGGTGGATTCTAACCAAGTGTCTTTGGCTTAGTAGTGGAACCTGTTACCCATTAGGCCATCAGAACTTGATTGATAATGTAAAATAATAAAAAGTCTGAATTAAGGAGTATTAAGTCTATCACAATAATCTTGACTACTCCTAATAAATTAACATTAAATGTGATTATTTAAATAATACTCCTAGGAGTAAGAGATAAAAACTAATGGCAATTTGAACAGTAATCTTTGTATATAAATATATTCTAAATAGGAAAAGATACTACTTATAACAGAGTAGACGTTTCTCATAGTTCTGGAGACTTTAGACTTACCATGCCCTCCTCAGCATTCACATCTTCTCTATTTCCTATTCTGTCACCCCTCACCAATTGTGTTTCTTATATGGATTATAAAGCTCTTTTATTTCCTTTAGGACTATCTCTAAATGTCCATCCCTGTTTCCATTTTCATATAAAAAAATCAGTACTGTAAAGCAAATGGATCAAATTGCATTGTGGCCTTCATGAAATCATGGTACCCTGTGATTATTGAGCTGTTATTATTATTCTTGTGTATCAGAATCACTGGGTTTATACAGTTGGGTTTGTAGAAGTCTTTTGTTTGTTTTTATTTTCTTGATTAGATAATTTAGAGATGGTTTCTCAAGTCAAGTTTTCTTTAATAAGAGATTTAAGTGAACCAGTTTTTCTTTTCTCCTTTTGTAGATTTCTTGATAACCGGCTGTTTGCTACCTGCTCTGATGACACTACCATAGCACTGTGGGATCTGAGAAAACTGAACACCAAAGTGTGCACTTTACATGGTCATACTAGCTGGGTGAAGAACATCGAATATGATACTAATACAAGACTCTTAGTAACATCAGGATTTGATGGAAATGTCATTATTTGGGACACTAACAGGTTTGTGAATAGGAAATCAAGTTAGGATTATGAACAAATATTAAAGATGGTGATGAAAATTTTTTTAGATGAAAGACATTAGATGGTGAAGAAAATTTTTTTAGATGAAAGACATTGGCTTTGGGGAAAACAAGAGCAGCTTCACTTATTTACATTTAGCCATATTTTTATAAAATAAGTTAGAGACAATGTTATTTGTTATTTACACTTGGTCATATTTTAACTAAAAAATTTTGAGACAATGATATGGCTAGAAAAGAGACCAAATAGAATGCTTAATGAAGAAAATGAGTTATAAAATGATAAGGAATTTAATGAGAAATATTTTATTTCCTTTCTTTTAGTTCTATTTTAAAGATTTTTTCCCCCCATGAATTAAAATAGTTCTTGATTGGAGAGTACTTATCTCTGAGGGATTTTGGAAGTAACATGTAAGGCGGTTTTGGTTGTCACAGTGAAATGGGGAGAGAGGAAAATGTCTGCTGGCATTTAGTGGGCAGGGAGAAAAATTTCTAAATATCTTGCAATGCACAGGACAGTATTCACAATAAGCTAGTTGTCTCACCTGAAACACCGGTGATAAAGTTGAGAAATATTTCAACAAAATATCTCTTTACAGAAAAAATGATGGTTTATAAAGAGTTGAAGTTTGAGAAATAATTCAGATATCCTTGTTGCTAGCCAAAGGCGCTGCACTTGTGTTGATTTCAACTCATGACAACCCTCCATGGGTTCTCCTCCATGGGTTCTCCTCCATGGCTTTCCCCTCCATGGCTTTCCCTCCATGGGGTTCCCCTCCATTGGATTCCCTCCATGGGGTTCCCCTCCATCGGATTCCCTCCATGGCTTTCCCTCCATGGGCTTCCCCTCCATCGGATTCCCTCCATGGGTTTCTCCTCCATTGTCTTCCTCCATTGGGTTTCCAAGGAGAAGACAACTTGTCTTGGAGAATTCTAACCACTGACCTTTTGGTTAGTAGCTTGATAAATCACGTACTAGGTCACCAAGGCTCCATACTTGCTAATTATGGTGAACCAATGCACAGTATATCAGGATCAGTCCTGATAAATTCTTCTCAGAACTCATATGTAAGAAGAGAGAAGGTATTCTTCTTCTTGTTAAGATTTGAATGACTTTTAAAAACAAATTGGTTTCCATTCAACCGTTCCTACACATTTGCTTTTATAACACTATTTATGGTTACTCTCAATGTAAACACATTCTTGCTCCTTCCTCCATTTTATAGCCATGTCAGTCAGTGAAGCGCACATGAACATCAGCATTCTAGGCATTTGTGAGATCCAATAAACTAGCTTTGGCCACTTTAAATCAGGTAATCACGTGGTATATTATGCTGGGAATGAAAAACAGAATAAGAATAGTGTTGTATTTATAGTAAAAAAGTCCATTTCAGGTTCTGTCCTGAAGTACAGTGTTGTGAGTGATAGGATACTATCCATATGCATACATGGAAGACCTGTTAAAATAACTATTATTCAAAGATACAATCCTACAGCTAGAGCCGAAGAGGAGGAAATTGAAATGCTTTACCAAATCTTGTAGTCTGAAATTGACCAAGCCTGCATTCAAGATGCATTGATGATAATTGATGATTGGAATATAAAAGTAGGAAACAAGAAGGAATAATAATCACAATGTATGGCATGGACTTGGTGACAGAAATAAGGCTAAAAATAGAATGATTGAATTTTATATTTTTAGTGATTTTTTTCATTGCAAATATCTCTTTAAAAACCACAAATGGCATCTTTACACATGTACCTCACCTGTTGTACTGCAGAGGAATCCGATTGACTATCTGTGGAAAGAATCGTTGCAGAAGCTCAATATCAGCAGTCAAAACTAGGCCAGGTGCAGATTGTGGGTCAGAACATCAATTACTCATGTGCAAGTTCAAATTGAGGCCCAAGAAAATGAAAAGAAGTCCACAAGAACCAAACTGTCATCTTAAATCTATTCCACTTGAATTTCAGAATCATCTTAAGAATAGGTTTTTGAAGCATTGCACACCACTGATTAAAAACCAGATGAGTTGTGGAATGACATCAAGGATATTGTCCATGAAGAGAGCAAAAGGTCATTACAAAGTGAGAAAAGAAAGAAAAAGCCCAAAATGGATGTCAGAAGAGACTCTGAAAATTGCACTAGAGTGTTGAGAAGCCAAAACAAATGGAAAACATGCCGGACTAAAAGAGCTGAACAGAAGATGTCAAAGGGCAGCTCAAGATGACAAAGCAAAGTATTATAATAGAATGTGCAGTGAGCTGGAATTGGAGAATAAAAAGAGAAGAACTTGCTGTGTATTTCTCAAGCTGAGAGAACTGAAAAACAAATTTAAGCCTTTAGTCTCAATATTGAAAAATGCTATGTGGCAAAATGTTAAATGACCCTGAAGCATCAAAAGAAAATGGAGGAAATACACAGAGTCACTGGAACAAAAAGAATTGACTGAAAATTTCAGGAAGTGCCATATAAGCAGGAGCCAGTGGTAGTGAACGAAGTTGAAGCTGCACTGAAAGCACTGGCAAAAAATTAGGCCCAGGAATAGATGGGCTACCCATTGACTTGTGTAACTTAATAGACGCAACCCTGGATGGGCTCACCAGGCTATGCCAGGAAATTTGGAGGACAGCTGTCTGGCCAATGGATTGGAAGAGGTCCATATTCGTTCCCATTCCCAAGAAAGGTGATCCAACTGAATGTGGAAACTATCAAGGAATATAATTAACATCCCATGCAAGCAAAATACTGCTGAAAAACATTCAAAAATTACTAAAAGAGTACATAGATAGGGAACTGGCAGAAGTTCAAGCAGGATTTAGAGAAGGCCGTGGCACCAGGGATATCATTGCTGATGTCAGATGGATCCTGGCTGAAAGTAAATAATACAAGAAGAATGTCGATGTATGCTTTCTTGATTATACAGAGGCATTCAACTGTGTGGATACTAAGTTATGGCTAAGAATGAGAATCCAGAGCACTTAATTGTGCTCATGCGAAACCTATACGAAGACCAAGAGGCTATTGGTATGAATAGAGTAAGGGAATAGTACGTGGTTTAAAATTAAGAAGGGAGTGCATCTGGGTTGTCTTCTCTCTATATACTTACTCAGTCCATAAACTGAGCAAATTATTCAAGAAGCTGGACTCTATGAAGAAGAATGTGGCATGATGATAAGAGGAAGACTTATCAATGACCTGTGATATGGATATGACACAACTTTGTTTGCTGAAAGTGAAGAGGACATGAAGTACTAGTTGCAGAAGATCACAGAATACAGCCTTCAATATGGATTGCATCTCAATGTCAAGAAAACAATTCTTAACACTGGACCTATAGGCAACATAATGATAGAGAAAAGATTGAAACTGTCAACTTCATTTTACTTGGATCAGCATCCTTGGTACCAGCAGTCACAAAATCAGGAGACTTATTGGACAGGGAAAGTCTGCAGTCAGGGACCTCTCTAAATTATTGAGAAGCAAGGATACCAGGATTGAGGACTAAGTGGATCGTATTCACGTGGTCTTTCTGATCACTTACTTTGATGCATCATAGAGCTGGACAATGAATAAGACTGACAGAAGGAGAATTGAAGCCTTTGCGTTGTGATGTTGGAGAAGAGTACTGAACATCCCATGTACTGTCAAAGAACACACAAATATGTCTTGTAGAAGGTGGAGGCAAAGATGATTAAGCTTCGCCTCACATACTTTGGGCCTATTGCTAGGAGAGGCTGTTCTGTGGAGAGGAACGTGGTGCTTGGAAAGGCAGAGGATTGGAGAAAGAGAGGCAGCCCCTCAGGTGAATTGACACAGTAACTGTTGTAATGGGCTCTAATGTGTCGGAAGTGTGAGGATGGCACAGAATTGGACAGGGTTCAGATCTTTTGTTCATAGTGTTGTTATGGGTCATATTTGATTTGATGGCACCTAACAACAACCCTTTGCTAGGGAAGGGATAGTCTTAAATAAGATTCCTAGCTATGCTTAGAGAAGATAGAATTGAAGCTGCTATGACCTTGCTACCTAAATTCAGCAAAGCTAATATTAGTAAGAAAAAAATGAAACATGAGTCTGAAATATTAATTTAGATACAAATATTATAAAATTGAAAATTTTAGAATATTAAAACTTCATGTTCAACATTATTAGCAGTTAGTTGAAGGCTTAGCAATCGTGCCATCAGGCCTACCTCAGGAAACCATTAGCAAGTCAAATAGAGCAGAACACCATAGACAAGACCAAGTGGAATTTATCCCCAATATGCATGGTTGTTTAACATCTAAAAATTAGTTAATATAATAACACACCATGTTAATAAAGGAGAAATTCCACATAACTATCTTAGTATAGCCTGAAAAACATTTAACATACTCTAGCCTTCTTTCATGATAAAAGTAGAATAAAATAGAACTTTTCAATCAGATAAATGGCATCTGTTAAAAACCTACAACTAAAATACTTAATGTTGAAAAACTGCATACATTCTCTTCTAATATTGGAAACAGCAAGTTATATTCACTCTAACCACTTCTATTCAACATTATAATGAAAGTACAGTATTGTAGCAGAGGAAGAGTGAAACAAGAAAAAGAAAAACTATCTTCTTTATATGCAAAGGCACAATCCCGTATATAGAAAATTTAATGAGCGCATGCATGTGTACATGCGCACACTAGTAGAACTAACCAACAGGTTCAGCCTGCTCGTACAAGATTTTTTTTTCTATAATTATATTTTATTAATTTTCATAAACATTTACAGAGATTTTGGGCTTCCACTCATTCATTGTTGCACTATTCTCTCTACCCTCCTCCCAGTTTGTTCTTGTCCAAATGCCACAGTGCTTGTCAAAGCCAGTTCTGATTAATCTTCTTTGTCAGTGTATCCTTTGCCATTCCCTATCACTCCTCCCTGAGAGAGACTTCACCCTGAGTCATAAGGAAAAGGGGACGGCGTATTCTCTTAGCTACTTC